TTGATTTGACACTATAACTGGACACCCTAGAAAACTTAAACTCGTCACGTCGGGGAGCTTGGAGCTAGCGCGGTGGGCAGCACGGTCATCTTCAACAGCAGAACATGTCTTCCCCAGCAAAACTATTTCTTTCCTAGAAATTAAACAACAAATTATAGGATTTCGAGGTCGTTTGTCTAACGCAACATAAATCTTCACTTTATCTATTAGGCCTTTGCACAGTCAAACTGTGTGATTTAAGCCCTAACTCTTTCTAGGTTCTGAGGTTGTCCTCCGATACGACGTAAACCCTCATATCTTTCAGGCGATTTGTGTGACCATGTCACGCAAATATAAGCTCTAATTAAATAAAATTGGCAGGATGAAACACTTTAATAACTTCTTCTTGAAACTGAAGCCAAACCATAGGATAGACTGGGAAGTCACCGAGGTTCGCCTCCGGATCCATGATCTCCCCTAGTTTCTCTCCATTTGGATTCCTCAACATTGTTCCAGATTCGAGCATTTCCCCTTTCACACCTCCTTGTCCGATTTCGTTGAAAAGTCCTATCCTTTTGACTTCTTTGAAGATAGTATTCTCTGATTTTTATCGGGAGTTTTTTTAGGTGACTTCAGTCATTTAGGATGTAATTAACTATAGGAGCTTGCCCTTATAGGAAGTTTTTCTGAACCCAGTCTAAAATAAACCCTATTTAATTCTTTGTATTAAATAGGAGAACTTGTCGGCAAATAAAACGGTTTCGCAGACCAAATGGATGTCATAAGTTTTCTTAGTTTATTTGATCGAGCCTCATCCTTAAGTCTTGTGTTTATCCCTCAGGAAAGATACAGGATTTGAGATAGAGCGCTCTTTCATTTAAACTGGTCAATATGTTTTCATATTTTTTAAAAATTATATATATATATATATATATATATATGTAAATTAAAGCGTCCTCCCGAAGCGGGTGACGGGACTTCACTCCCAGCGACCGACAGCTTCTTACGGGCAAACCCCAACTTTAACTTTTTAACTTTACCCCCTCTCTGCGCCGACATGGATGCAGAGCCTACCCAACAAGCTTGGAATCACCGGGAATAGGAGAAGGTTGGGAGTTTCGTGTCTCTGTAGACCACTTCCCAGTCACTGCCTTCCTAGGTAAACTTTGATCACAACTGTATCGGGTAGACGATGCGAGAGGAATAGAAGTCGGCGCAGGAGGAAGAGGAAAATGGGAGTTTCGAGTCTGTTGGTCGCGTTGTCTTTCCAAGTAGCTCCGATCGCGACTGTAATGGATGAAGTCGGTGTGGAAACAGGAGTGTCGATCGGTTACGGATCTCTGCTCGTCAAACGGGAGAGATCGGGCCTCTATACGCAGATCCGGCCTGACTTGCAGCACGAACGACAGAGCAAGCCGGATAGATGGCTATGTATGTTGAAATGTCGCCCAGGAAGCAATAATTTGCTTTAGCTTTCAATCCTCTAATCTGATTCTCAAAATCTTGAGTTCTAATACAAATTTGATACGATTCAACGTAGAAAACTTTCGTAGAAATTAGAAAAAACAAAAATTCTTATTGCAATAATCCAAATAACTCACACGAGTACAATAAATAAACACCTACAATCTGAGAGGTAGGCGATCTCTCCCACTTCCTACAATTCGAGAGATTGTAAATCTCTCCCAAAACCGAGACCTAAGACTCACAATCCAATCTCATTCATCTTCCTAACTCTAGACATAACAAACCTATTTATATACCCAACAATAATAGTAATAAAAGACTAAATTGCCCTTGGGCATACAAAAGACAAATTTACCCTTATGCTAAGCGCCCCCATAACAAAATAGTCATGGAGCCTACAAAGCACTTGAAGGATATAAATCCAACTAGCACACATACACAAATTAAAACTAGAATTTTACTGTAATACTCAGAATTTAATAATTTCTTTACATGCCTCAAGCTTCTCATACATGTAACACACAAAATACCCCTAAATAAGAAACTCCTTCAAATACTACTAGATATAGTCAAAATCTGCACGCTCCAATTCTACCATCACAAATAGTAGGAAACTTTAGCTTGCATAGTTTCGATGCACATACATCCATACGAGAAAAATAAATGAGGAAACAAGACGAGAAGATATAAGACTGCTGAGCAAATAATTGAAAGCATTTAGGAAAACCGTATATTATCAGAATCCAAACATTAAAGCAATCAGACTGCACTGATTAGTACGGATGGAAGATAGAATAGCATTCAATGCCTAAAGATAACACCTCTGGAAAGGAATAAGAAAGATCTATATGAAATAATAACAAATATTTATGCAGAAGCAAAACTTCCAAATTATACCAATGACCTCTCAAAGATAACAAGCACTAACAGATTATTTCAAGAAACAAATACTGAAAAATAAATTCTTGGAAGAAGATAATAATATTCATTCAAGGAATACAGTAAGGTAAAAAAATGTAGACATCAAATCCAAGTGACTGCAAAGAATAAGTTTGCTTCAATTAACTCCTAAAAAAGAAATAAAAAGTGGGATAATGTATTGCAAGCTCAATATCAAAAATTTAGAAGGGGGTAAAGAGACACAAGAAACCAGTTTAAAAGGAACATAAGTTTGATACAGTATATAATTAACAGGACTATTAAAATGTCAAGTTCAAAACAAAGTTTATGATAATTTAACAATAAAATCTTAAAGAGCACTTATTTCATAATAGGAGACTACATAGATGTAATTATTCATACCAGCAGAAGCTCTACAGCAATAGGCACAAAAAGCAGTACTGTGTCACATCTAAATATAACTGTTGCTACAGTCTGTCAATGAAACAGAAAAGTTTTATGAGATAGGAGCCTGCCAAAAAGTTGCAAAGTAAAAGTATTCACAATTATGACATAAAAATATAACACTGCGGTGTTTATAAAATGTTGATATTAAAAACATATGCCATATATGCCTATTCATATGAATTACTTGATTTCTAGCAGGTATTAGTCTCCTAAATGGAATTTTCAAAATGATAGAATAAGGAAATTGTGCACAATATTCTATAATTATATTCCCATTCTGAAAGGAGCGCACCTTTCCTGTTATTAACGTCCAAAACTAGCAAATAAAAAGGGAACATATGAAAAAATGTGTAGAAGGAATTGAAGATTATGAAATAGAGCCATAACAACCAAATTATTTTTCAAAACTATCCACAACCATACAAGTCAGTCAACAGCAAAAAATTCTGAATATCACCGTACATTTCTGGGGCAGTTACATACATGGCACACAATTCGTATGTATATACAAATCTCACATAAAAGCTTTCATATTTACACACATAGCAATCAAATCTTTAATATTACATCAAAAATAGCTCTATTACCACTTCTTCAAAGAGAAATACACATTTTCATACATAGGTTTAAAGCACCAAAGTGCTATGTATGTAAATAATTTTATGTATAAGACAAGTAAATGCATAAGAATTGTGTGCAAAGTATGTAAATTTCCCAATATTTTCAACAACAGTTGCATGTGTTATTAGCTCATAGTTATAATTTATATGATCTTTATGCATAACTTCTAGCAACACTTTCTTTGGTCACTTTATCAAACCCTGAGAATAAAAAACAAAAAAAGCATAAGCACCAAAACCACAAGAGAAAGGTTACAGCTCCATAGATTATATAAGTTTCATATGGCAGCCCTTATCTCCCCACCTCAACTCTAGGTAAAAACCAATGTATGAAAAGTGTGCCTTAGGAGCAAAGCAAAATAACAGGCTAGCCATGAGCATCTCTTTCCTGCGAAGCAAAAGCTCACAGCAAAGCACATAGTTCATGTCACTTCGCTGCATTACTTGGCTCGGCCTCAAAACAAATTTATTATTTTGATTTCATGGTTTCATTAAAAATATGTCAAATAACAAAGGCACTTATGTTCATTTGTCTTCACTAATTCTCACAAACACTAAATCATTACTTTTTGATAGTTCGCTTCTTCAAGTTCTCATGTTTGATGGTTTTCTCGCTTCTCATTGTTTCTTTCTACCTGGCGCTAATAGATTCTCACTCACAACCTTCTTCTCAATAGTGTTCCTCAATAACTCTACACGTTTGTCAATGCACATTTTTATGCTCTCTTCCTCCTCATGCTACCTCAGCATCTTAATCTCTAATTAGTCACTCAATCTCACATGTTTTCTTGATGCTTACATTTTATTTCATCACTTCATTATTTACATGTTTGAATCTTTTGGGCTTTTAGGTAGTACCATTATATTTGCTACAAATTATTACCCATTTAGTTCTAATTTAATTACTTTGGTGATCATTGTACCATCTTAATTTGCATATATGATATAAAAGTTATGAAAACTCAAGTTAGTAAAAAAGTATCTTTGCTTTGCCAATTGAAATAAGAAAAACAAATCCTACGCATCGCATTCCTCTTAAACGACAAAATTAATAATAAAAACATTACACTATACCAGATAAAAATTAAATCTAATATTGCCAAAAGATATTGTTAGTGTTAAACAATCAAATCAACAACATGAGAGAAACAAAAAAAAAGAAGCATACCAAGCATTTCAAAGTACTTGTGGCATTATCCTCGAACCAAAATCCATATGCCAAGTTAACTGTAACTGCAAGCATTTAACCAAAATATATATATATATTGCAAACAACTTTTGAACGTTTAAACTGGTAAAAAAGATCCAGTTATTCTTCTGTTATGCCATTATAAGTTCAACAAGCATGCAGCCAAGTTAACTTCATGCATTTAACAACAAAAAAATTGTAGAAAAAATTTTAACGTTCAAACAGGTGAAAAAGATAGCAGTCATTCTTCTGCTATGCTATTACAAGTTCAACAAGCATAGATGGGCTTGAACAATATTAAAACAGGCAAGGAAAGCCACAGTAGTTTTTTTTCATGCATAATGCTCAATGAAAAAGAAAATTAATCATATATGTGGAAATTGGAGAAGATTTTATTCTTTCCATATTTGCCTCTTATATGGGGCCGGCCACCACCTCTGAATCTTGGAAGATTTGATTGGGATATCATAGAAAACATTTTATTGGTTTATTCATTTCCCATTTTATGTTATCTATTTATTATTCAGAATTATTTCGTTTCTAATTTAGGTGAGAAATGTTTGGTAAGTATGTAAAAGGGGATTGAGTTCCCTATATATATGTATCCTATTTGTGAATAATATACACTTATATTAAGCTAAATAGGTTATTTAACTTTATGTAGGCAATAACCAGTAGAATAACTGAATTAGATAAGGCATACCAGAAGAATGAGAAAATAACTTCGATAATAAGCCAAACGATAATCATATTATCACTGAATAATCTCATTGTCAAACACCGGCTAAGAAGATTTGCAAAATAAACAACCACTCCAAACAACTGGTTAATGTCTTTCCAAAACTAACAGATGTTAAAAACTTTTGCACTATAATGATGAATAATTATCATAATTTGAGATGTCACTAGCAATAATTTCAATTGACATCGCATGGTTAATGTCTTTCCAATGGTCATCGCATGGTCAATATTCAAATGGTTAATGTCTTTCCAAAACTTTTGCACTATAATGATGAATAGTTATCATAATTCCCTTCCTATTTTATAGTTTTTTTCATTTTTTTTCATTTTTATTCATAATAAATTCCTTTCATAATTTATGTGAGATGTGTTTGGTAAGTTTCTAAATAAGAAGGGATTAATTTTTCTATATATATACCTATTTGTGAATAATGAAGAGAAAAAATTATTCCTCCCCAAACCTGTTGTTGATGTTAAAGCCAATGGTCTTATCCTAGATCCCCCGTGTCGTCGAACCTCCTCCTTGCTGCTGGAAACTTGTCTGACCTCTGCTAGAGCCGGAAAATCCCTTCAGCTAGAACTAGAACCTCTCCTATTAGACCAAGAATCTCCTCTGCCAAAAGCTAGACCTCCTTGGAGGTCTCTCCCTATTCCTCTGGAATTATTTCTGCAAGCATATCCCACTAGCGAGACTACATAACTGGCTTCCGACAACCCTACCGGATCTTCCCTAATGGAGGAGCCAATTCTTCCCGTCGTTCCTCGCCTCCTGTAGCAAACAACAGCCGCAAGAACTCATTCTAATCGTCGAAACTTCTTCAAACAGCTGCCGGAGTCCTTCCCTACAGCTTTTTCCTTCGGTACATGTGCTTCCTCCCCTAGAAGGATCCACAAATCACGCTAGCTACAAACTCCGAATTTACAATTATGCAGAAATGGAAGGTTTTAGAAAAATTATATAGAGCAAGATGAGACCCTAAGGATGGCGTCGGAAGCATTATAATATCCCCAACAAAAGAATTAGCAGGGCAACATTTTGAAGAATTGAAAATAATAGGAAGGAATCATACTCTTCAAGTGAAGGCCTTCTAATTGATGGTCGTAAAGATGTTGATGCTGAAAAGCATCATGTTAATTCACTTCACAACTTGATATGGACACACCGTCTTCTCCTTAAGCACATGAATGAGACACCAAACTTTGATTGTTCACAACTTCAGGATACAGTTTCTAGTTTTGGATGAAGCTAATAGTACGCTTGATAAGAAGTTCAAAAGAGAATAGATGCAATCATCTCTTGGCTCTCTAATAGGAGACAAGGCTTCCTCTTCTCTGCAGGAAAGCTTCTTTCCTCTTTGATCTCAAAAGGCAGCCCTTCTCCGCCTTCTTCTGTCCCTACAGAGGCCTTCTGTTGTCCCGAAACTCTCCCCACCTTAACTCTTCCCTGCAGGCAGCCCTTCCCAGAAAGAAAAGGTGGATGGCAGCAGTCAACTTCCTGCAGTTCTCTGAAGCCACTTCAGCCTGGCTTTCTTTCCCAGAGCCGGAATTCTCCTTACTGCCAGTCAAATCCTTCCTGCAACCAGAACCTTCCCAGCCGGAAAGCCCTCACTGCAGCAAAAAACCCTTCCCTGCAGGCCCCTCTGCCCGAAACCATTCCCTGCAGGACTTCTTCCTCTGGCAGAAGTCTTAAGCCCTTCACGGCAGATCTCGTAAGCGGCAGCAGCCTTCCCACCTGCTCAAGCCAACCAACGCTTCTCTGCACCTGCCATTGCTTCTCTTCTACCATTTTTTCTAATTCACTGAAGTTTTTCCTTCTATGAACTCTTGTAAACCTTGTGAGCTTTGAAAGGGAATAAAATTCTCCTGATTGTGGCTGAAGCCTATCTAAACTACAGGCTGTAGATCATCATTCCAGAAGCCAGAAGGTCCTGCTTTAACCAGATTTCAAGAGCCGTTGTCTTCCCTTTCCTTCCTCCACTATCATTTCTCCATTGTCTTCCACTAGAGCAGCCACATGTCTTTATATAAGCCCTCCTTTGGAGCTTTCTCCCTGCAGCAAATCCTCCAACGAAGCTTTATCCTGCAGTGGGTGCTCTCTGAAGCTTCTGCCTACAGCCATCGACGCTGGAATACTCCTTGTAGGCCGCAAAACTCCCTGCATACCTTCCTCTGTTCTCTTTTTCCGTCAGAACTCTCCCTGCATCCGCAATCCTTCTGATGCAGGCCCTCCTCCACCGAAATCTTTCATCCGATCTGCAAGCCCTCCTTCGGAGATCCTCAAGTTCTTCCTAGCACCAAAATTCTCCCTGCAAGATCTCCTTTGTTCAATTTCTGTTCAATTTCTGCCACCAGAATTCCTAGCAGCACACCCTCCTCCACTGGAAACTATTGACTCCCTTCACGAAAACTATTGCCTATAGGCTACCGAAACCTCCTCAGCCGAATTTCTCCCTGCCTGTAGGCCCTTTAGTAGCTCTTCCTTATAACAAAAATCTCCCTACTATAGGCCCTTCGGAATTCTCCTTAGAGCCAAAAGTGTCCTTGTTGTAGGCCCTCCTCCAAAATTCTCCTCATAACCAATCTTCCTATTACATGCAGTCTGTCAGAGCTTCTCCCTGCTGCAGGCCCTTTCTCGATTCTTCCCTGCATCTATTCTTTCTTTTCTGTAGACGCACCATATAGCTTTCCCTGCAGGTTGTCTACTTCCCCGCATGCTTCCCTACAGCATTGCCTGCAACAACCTTCCATCTACGTATAGAAACTACAGAAGCTGCAGTTAAAGACAACTGCAGTCAACTAGAAGCATTCCTAAATACTCTTGGGGTTGATAATGAAGTACGGGATGAAGATTTCAACTTCTACTCTAGAGGTAATTCAGAGCAGCACTCCAAACTCGTGGCACAACAAGATAGTGGAGTCGAGGAAGGCAATTAACAGTGTTGAAATGCATCAAAGCTTTTCCTTTCAAGAGCTTCTCAGCATTCAATACTAAGCTTGGTCTCTACAATATCTACGACCCACCTTGAGGGGGTGTAGAAATCTAAGAAGATTTAGTTTTTTTCATATATACCTCACTCACATGGACCAGCCACCGCCTCCAAATCTTGGACGATTTGCTTGGAATATCTTAGAAAACCTTTGATTTTGTTTATTTCATTCTTATTTTATGTTTTTCTATTTTTTATTCAGAATTATTTTCTTTCCTAATTCAGGTGAGATATGTTGAGTAAATTTCTAAATAATTAGGGATTGATTTCTCTATATATAAGTACCATAGTAATGAATAATGAAGAGAAGGAATTATTCCTCCCAAAACAATTTTTCTACAAAATTAATGGTAAGAATGTGATAAATGATTGAATCTCAAAAAAAAAGGAGGCATTTACATACATACAACAAACTTCTTATGTATTTACATATCTAACACCTAAACATTCATATTGATATGCATACCACTTAAATATTTAATATCACATCTAAAATATCACTATCACAATAATCAGATATGTAGAAAATGCACAACTGGAAAAAAAAAATTATCACCTAAAATAAAAGCCAATATGTTCGGTAGGGGGCGTGTTGAATAGAACAGCAGATGAAACTGCAGAGCAGTCAACATTGCAAAGAATGCTTCTACATGAAAACCAAATTTCCTTCTAACCTGAAGAAAGTATAAGAAAAATAAACCATCAATCAAATGCAGTGCATAAACAATTTTAAGTTTATTAAATCCACAAAACAAGCTCAGAGATAGTACATCAATTCGTTTTACATCTGCATTGAAAGTAAAAAATATGTGTTTTTCCAACAATTTTATGACCAAATATATCCTTACAGCTCTACAATGACATCTGGCGTCATCAATTTTATCAAACAATTTGATTCATGCTTTTCATATGATCAATTCAGCCAAAGCTGTGAGATAGCTGGGTTAAACTTTAGGGGTGGGGGGTAGTGGGATGTACCTTGATCCTAAAGAATCTTAAAGCTGACAAAACCAGGCAACCTAACACCAAGCGTACTGGAAACAACATAAAGAGAAAAATCAGTAACTTCATTTAAAAGCAGCCAACATGTTTTGTAGGAGAAATGTACAATAATCCAGTTAAAATTACAAAGCAGGTAACTCATGTTTTGCAGTAAAGAAAGGACAGCAAAACATTCAGCAGGTGATATGCTCAACTTTGCAGATATATTAAACATAATGATACATAAAATATTCCCAAAGATCAGAAGCCTCCCAAATTTAATAAATCATAGACAAAATGCTCAAATATCCATATTGAAAAGATTTGTTACCATATTGAGACAAATAATTAAAATAAGCATAAAATAAATTATATATATATATATATATATATAGAAAAAGCCTAATATATATATATATATATATATAACAGAAATATAAAAGCCGCTATAAAAGCTGATACAGCAAAGCAATAACATAATATAAGATGGACCTATAAGTAAACTACAGATCTTTGCTGCATCAAATAATTGCATTGCTGCAACCACCGGTGATGCCAAAATTGATAGAATAATAGCCCCTGCATAAGAATACGAACAAATAGTCAATTCTTATCAAGAAAATGCTTCTAGAGAAAAAAAAGTTCCTTGGCATATTGGTCAACCAATTTTTATCCAAATTAAAAACATGAGTACAAAAAAAAACGCACAAAATATTTATCAACCACCTGACCATAGCCAAGGCAATTATCATCTATAAACAAAATATTGCATGAACAAAACTATAGGTGATTCCATAATCTACTAGAAAAAACTACACGCGGTTGTTGAAATATATATAAATCCAAAAACAAACAGTTCCTCAAAAAATAAATCCTAGCAATATTTGCCACATTATTCTCTTCCAAGAAATAGCATAAAGAAAATGACAAAATCATACAGAATATCTTATAAAATCTAAATGACTGATGGGCATGCTGATCGACATAATGTCAACAGAAATAAAAATAAATTCAAATGGAGAATCTTTGACGATGTGTTACTTTGCTGAGTTCTCTTTATCCATGTCTTCACAGAAAATTCAAATTTGTTGACAAGGAAAAATTCTGGAGAATAAAACAATAGTAGATGTGATTTGCTCTCTTTTTTTTTTTTTTCTTTTTTACAATGTTTAAAGGATGCCATGATAAAAACGCAGGCAAATTTTTTAAGGGAATAATAGGCAAATGATTCTTTGCATTTTCAAAATGACTTGTTACAGATGAATACCAAATAAAATAAACTATAAGAGTCAAATGTAATTATAGCTAATATTTCATTAAATTTCTTTCATAGAGAGCTGATGAGAAAAGTTAATATATATCATTTACAAAATGCTCCAACAGAAAAGGGAAGAATCCATGGCCTCATACAAAAGCAGATATTACTTTATGATATCAATACTTCTCATATTAATTACGCTCGATAAGGTCAATGGAACAGGAAATATGCTTCTCATAAGTATAACAAAAGAGCTAAATAATTTGAACATGTGAAAGGTACGATAATTAAAATAAAATCATGAAATGAGCCTTGTCAACTACTTTTAAGAGAATAACTTGGCAAAGAGGCAGCGATCATAGAGTCGCTAATAGATACTCCACACTCTTGATTTCAAAAATTAAGAGCAAATTCTACCGAAAGATATACAAAAACATGAATAAGCACGAGATAGACTCAGTTGGCAATATGGTGCGCGTACGAGAAGGGTGAGCTACCCATAGCTAAAGATTTTGTGCACAATAAATTGTAATTATGATACTCATATAAAAGAAATAATAATAATAATAGTGATGATGATAACTCTATAAAAAGCGACAATAATTTTTTTTTATAACAGCATATTAATAAATAAAAAAATAATAGAAATCAAAACATTGATTATGCCATTAGAATACAACAAGCTGCTGCAACTTCATAATCTATCCTTGCAAGGAGTACACAACAATTTTAATTTTATGAAACTTTATAGCTAACTATAAAGCTATTATTCTACAATTAATTGTAAATAAAAAATTAGTTAGCTAACAAAATTATATCATATTCACCATAAACTATGGTTAATTAATAATAACCGCATTTATATTCTTATTACAGACTTAGAAATTATTATAGAATAGAACTAACAGATTAATTAGAAGTTGAGACACAATAAGTTTGTTATAATTTAATTAGAAATTACTTAGATGAATCAAATAAGCTCTCCTCCCATCTATTTTTTGCTTCTATAATCAAACCTTCCGACAAAATTACATGACAGCCTCAATTTAAGAAGTTAGTCACATTTAAAGTATCCATTGGTCGATTGTGTGATCATGTGATTCAAGATTGAGCAGTGATTAAGAAATTAAAATAATTAATTGCCTAATCACTCTAAAAGAACAAATCCTTAGGTTTGGTTACATGAAGACACATCTTTGTGTGGAAAGCCACATCTCTAACATAACAAGAAAAGTAAAATGACAGTGAAGCAAATGTTAGGACCACATACAGTAAAAGAATCTAATTTAAAAGAGCAAGGAATAGTTTACCTACGAAAGTACGAGGAACAACACCAGGAAATTCACAGTGGTCATACTGTAACAAACAAGTAACTTATTAAGGGCCTTATAAATCCACAAGGAAAAGTGATTTTTTTTTTTTTTTTGTCATTATACACATAACACCCAATTCCTATGTATTTATATATTCAACACCTAAACTTTTACATTTATACAACCAAAATCCTACATGTCACATCACAAATACAACTATTTTAAATTTTAAGAAGTGAAATACACCTTTTCAAGCATAGGTAAAGTGTCATATATGTAAAAATTGAAGTTAGGTGTTAGATATGTAAAACATAGGAATTAAGTGGTCCGTATGTAAACCTTCCTTTAAAAAAAAACATAAGCTGTGCGAGGAAAAGGCAGCACTGACCCTGTCAATATGTTGCCGGTGATATAGTATATCATGCATTGCCTAATGACAAACAGAAACATGGTGTTAGCTAATACTCAGTAGATGATAATTTGTAGATAGAGAAACCAAATCAGTTTTTTGCAACAATATCAGGGATTGAGCAGCTGAAATTTTCTCACCAAATCCATCGATTCATATATAGCTGAATTTTAATAGCTTTTGTACGATTATATCAACCAAATCAGTAATTAAAGGGTCACTCATACTTTTTATACCCAATTTGTTCTAAGTTTCTAAAAGAACCTCTTTTTCTACAAAATTAAGAATTCTAAACCATCATCAATCAAATGAATTAAATGATCAAATGAGCTGAAAATATAGTGCATGCCTGGACATTGAAGCTCTCTTCGATAGGGAACCAAGATTGCGTAGAAGGCAGCAAACGATCCCAGAACAAGATCCCACCCTGCAATTAATTATCATTTTTTATGAGCCTTGATCCGAAAGGAGTTAAAGATCCAATCAAACAAATCAGTTTAAAGGTAGTGGCATTAGAAGCAAGACACTCACCAAAGTTGACAAGAAACTTAGAAAAGCAACTCTTAACATTATTGAGCTTCCCTTTTGCCATTGCCCGAAACTTTAATAGTTTAAAACACTCGGCTCTTTTTGTTCTGAAAAAACTGACAGTGAGAAAATGGAAATGGAAAAAAAAATGAATTGAAACATGTTTTTTTTTTCCTTTTGATTGGTTTGAAAAATCAAAATGAAAAGGAATGCCATTTTCTCACTTGGCTTTAAGGAACAACAAACAATTTAAGGAATGAAATTTTTTTAATGAATGCATATTTGAATTAACATATTGCGTCATTTATCTAATTAGCATGCAACTGATAACTGTAAAGCACCCATTGGAATTTCTAATTTTAAATTGTGCATAATTGATTAATAGTCATAAAAAAGATTTACTTGGAAAGAATTAAAAACTACGGTGCTCATTATAAGCCCTAAACTCCACTGTTAAGTTCAAAAACATACCATTTGAACTTATATTTTAATACTTACAGAAATGTCAAGCTCAATGTCAAGCTCAAATATTAATGTAATGTTTTTTTTTTTTTAATATTTTCCATCTCTTCACATTTTGCTCTGTAATAGAGATAGATAAGGTTGATATTTATGACGCATGATTGCCATGTATATTGGCAAAATACTAGTGCAGAACAGCAGAGTAGCAAAGGTTCATAATACTCATACTTTATGTTTTTGAACAATAAAATGCAGAAAAATATTATGATAAGCTTATTTAGTTATCATAATAAGCTTGTTTTGTTTAACATAATAAAAGAAGCACTATCACTCCATTATCATAAGCTTATTATAAGAGAAAAGTGCCAAAATGATCTATTGCCTTTTTACAATGGGCCACTTTAATCCTAGAGTCTATAAGGGGTTGTTTGGCAACGGATTGAGCCTAGAATTTAAGCAATATTTAAGTGAAATCTTGCGAAATGGTCATTTTGGACAAAATAAATCCTGGGATGCGGTAAATCTGGATTTCACGAATTTCGTCCATAAATCTTCGATTTAGTAAATCCAAGAAGTCGGTGGATATAACTTCACACTCTACGGATTTAAGGCGAGGACAAACAATAATTGTTCTGATAAGGCTATCTCTTCTTCCCCAATGGTGTCGTTGTCAATAGCTTCATCTACCATGTGCTTCGCCTTTATAATCCGACCAATGATCCCGCTTCTTTGTCAGCATGCTTCCCACCAAGCGCTACATGAGAGGCGTTATTCCTCAGGCCATGAATCAGGTACCTTCTTCGCGTTAATTTTTTTTTCTTGTTCCTATCGAACATGCTCTTCTAAATCTGGCGAATGCGCCATTCAATTATTTCTCCAACCCCAAGTCAATCTCTTGTTTGTATAGTCCTTAAAGGCAAGATCAAATTGCCACACTCCACCGTTGTTGGAACTCAACGATGCAGGAGACCGAATGTTTGTCCTCAAGCTAGCCACTTGCTCGTAGTTTCTTCCGGTATCTCTAATCATCCAAGGGGGATTTCTTTTCCCACCCCATAGATTCTTCAGCTCGACTGAACCCTAGCTGACTCTCATCTTCTTCCAATGTCGATGTCCTCTCTCATTTTTTTATTCTTCATATCTTGTTTCTCCTTCATTTTCCCGCATCCTGGGCTCTCTCGCAAATTGATGCAAACGATTGTTTCATTGTCAGGTGATGCAAGGCACAGCATATTTTGTAATGAATCCCTTTTAAGAAGTCTACACGCCACTATGGCCTAGCCCTGCCTTGCACAAGCACTTCGGAAAGATTTTACTGGCCTTTTACAACATTTATTCATAATATAATGCTGATAGTCTTGTATTTTAGTGTTATGTAAGAAATCTTCTTGGATTTTTTTATAATGCCTGTTTGAAACATAAGTCATCAGCCCATGTGTGAGTTTTGCCCGATTAAAGTGGTTTTTTGAATATGATACAGGCTTAATTGTAATAGCTGAGTAGAAGGCATGTGTAGAAATATGAGAACTTTTATATTTTGGGGAAGTCATTCTAAAAATTTTGACATTGTTGTTTAACAGACTTAAAATGATATAACAATCTCATTAATCCATTTGATCACAAGAATAGGATTTGCAAAATTTGTGTTTTAATTTTCACACAAATTTTTATGGTGACTTTAGGGACCATTTTTTCTCCATCTTTAGTAGTTAGCTTTTGTTTCTATACATCAATAGTATATTGAAGTCTCTATAATATTCTAGGATTAAATTTCTTCAATTGGATAGCTTGTTGATTTCTATTTCTTGCATCCTTGATCCAAAAATTACACTACATTATATCAATTATCATTACCACTAGATTTATGATGTTTTTAATGCTCTGGATAAGATTGAAAGTATCAAACAAATACTCAATGACTTGTACTTCTCCGTATTTTGTTGCCTAAAGTTAGGGAAAATAAGAAGAGCTTTTGCAGCTACTAAAGTAGACTTTCTTGTCGGTTCATAAGTTCATGGACACAATTGTTGCTCTTGTAGTGCCACAAAACGTTTGATTTAAACAACTATTTAGTATAGCTTTTTGTGAAGTGGCCAGATTCAGATTTTTATATATTAGAGTGATTAAAACAAGTGTTCTATAAGAAATAATCTGTTTTGGTCATTCATACTACTTGGTTAAAACAAGTATAGAATTCCTTTTACTTGTTTTTCATTTGTCCGTAGAGTTAAGATCTTATGATGATGCGATTTGGATAAGTGCGGGGAGAATGTTGTGGTGTGATTATGTTTGCCGGGTTATCAAAATAATGTAAGATGAGATGACAATGAAAAGGCGTGCGCACTCAAAAGATTTTCAATTAAATAGCCCGTCAAAGATTGTATGACAGCTCACCCTGAAGAAATTTTTCTTTTCATAATTTTGACTCATTGTTTTGGACAATCAAAATATGTTACTGTTTCAGACTGTTTGCAGGATTCAGTGCATGTTAGTTGTTATTTAACATGAACCATCAGGTTTATTAGCTTTGAAGAAATTTAGAGAATGAGTGGCTTATAAATCATACCCATAAGTAGCTCAATTTTTTTTGTGATTGTTGGTCTTATATTTTGCATTTGTTAGACATTTGATCTTATTTTATTGTTAACAACAACATTAGTGATGATAAAATGAAATGTGCTGGGAAATTTGTGTCAACTGTAATGAATTAGAAAATTTACATTGCATTTAATTCACTGAATTCATTTTTAGCTGATATCAGTGGTAGATGTATAATGAATTTGTTACCTTATGGCTTATGCTAGAGTGGCTATTAAAAAAATCATTACTAACTTCAAGGAACCAAAAAAAATATATACAAAACAAAACACAGAACTTTAATCATCTAGAAGGATCTATGTTATCAAACTATTGAAATTCAAGACTCTGCCTCACACATTAATATTTTACTAATTTCACACCTATAGATTTATAAGACCAAAAAATACCTCAAAAAATGCAGTTGTAAATGAATTAAGTAGCAAAAGTCGCCTTTATGACTGAGACAACGTCTAGAATATATCTTTCTTACTTGTTACTTATTAATTCATAGGCACTACAGAAAAAACAACTTCAAATTTACAACCCATAATATTAATTCAATTAAGATGAGTTACTCAAAGTCCGCTGCTAGCTCGAAGACATCTGGCGCACCAGGGAAACTTAATTATGTTGGGAGAAAAATTCAAATGGCATGTCAATATCATGAAATAAAAAGATCAAAACAAAAAATTGATGGCAATTCAATAGCCGAGATGGATATAATATATGATAGGGAGTCCACCAATGCTAAATATGAATCGAGTAAACGGAGAAGTTATGCTGTTAAGTCTAATTCTAACTTTTGTAAATTATAAATTTAGTCTATGTAAATACAATCATATGTTTGACTTTTTTTCATTCGCTAAAAGTTACCAATTTAATCTGCCCTAATATTATTGAAATCAACATAAATCATTTCTTTCACTACTACGCTTTAAGTACTTATATTATGAATGCAATGTTTTAATTATAGAAATGAAAAAATTTATACAAAAGAATTTAATTTGTTGTGGTGGCGGTAGCTCAAAACGCCAACTCAATGAAGATTTACCGGCACCGATCGGAGAATCTAAGAATTCATCAGTGACACCAAAGTGGTCGAAACAGCACAACGCCAATCTTTGGGGAGTTGCTAATGGAACAATCCCTATGTGGAAATATTCTATATGGCATGTTGAAGAAGAGTTTATGAGGTGAAATCGTTGGAATATTAAATAGAAAATTTGTCACATCATACACTATCCTAGTTGTCATGACCAGATTTAAAAATATGAAAGTTGACTTCAAAATTCTATTTCACTTGTCAAATAAAGTTGGTTGGGAATTGGATGAAGATTTGCACCTTCCGATAGTAACAGATGAATTATGAGAAAAAGACATACATGTTAGTTCAACATAACTCTTACAGCGTCAATAGACTTTATTAGGTAGACTCCCACAGTTAAAAAAAAAAATCATCATATTTCAGGGAAATTCAAAGTTGGGTCGTTTTAGAAGAAATGATCACTACGATATCTTTGAGAAGAAATGGGTTGATAATATTGTTTTGGCATTCGAGCACAATCAACTGTTGATTGACTTGAGAGGAGTAAAAATGGTGCAGAGAAGGTTACTACTCATAAGGAATACATCCATGAAGACGAATTTATGGCTTCAAATAATGTTAGCTTCACCAAGGAAATTAGAATGCCACAAGCCAGTGTACACTGTCAACAATGATTTAATAGCGGATCAGGTGACATTAGAGCATAGTGTTGGAACCAAATGAAAAAATGAAAAAGAAGTATCCAATTGCACAATGCAAGAAAAAACGAGGTGAGAGACATTCGATAAACTTTTTTTAGCGAAAGTGGAGAACGATGCAACATTTAAGAAGTCGCTAGAAAAAAGTGCTCATATCTCAATGAATGATTGTTTAACAAACTTAACTAATATCGATGACATTTCATATGATACTACACTCGCTGTTCTCGATGCGTTCGGAGAACATAAAATAAGAAATATATATCCTTAATGTTCCATGGCCCTCGTATCATTATACTCGCTGTTCTCGATGCGTCATTAGAATTGAGGACATTCTTGCAAAACATTTCATTTATTATTCATATCCTGCTTGGTTTTGAAAGTCAACATTATATCTCTAATTTTTTAGCATCTTAGTTGTTCAGTGCGAATATCATTATACTACATTAGTTGTAAGTTGTTTTTTTTTATTTTATCACTATAATATTTCATCTCGTATCCTAATGTTGCTTCAGCATTTCTATCTTATGTAGTGTAATTTTTTAGTTCTATTATCCATGCAACTTTTTTTTTAGAATTTCATATTTTAATTACTTTCAATAAAATAATGCATAATTTTGTAATGAAAAATTATTTAAATTTTACTGGAATGTCTCATTATTTTCGCGGCAAACTATCAGACAGTATGTATAATTTGATAAACAATTACATTGATGTCAGAAATGTCATTAATGAGTTTTAACATACACACGACAACAATATTTAATGGATGTTCTTGTTGGACATCCTATACGCTGCTATGATTATTTCAGGCTACCACCAGAAGTTTTTAATTAGCTGCGTGACATTCTGATAAACTGTAATATGTTTAAGCATGCGAGAAATATGACTATTGCAAAACAAGTAGGGATTATTATAAGGAGTATCACATGCACATTCATATAGACAACTTTGTGAGTTCTTCCAGCATTCATTCGAAATTATTGATATATACTTTAATATTGTCTTACAAGTTATTGTTTTTTTTACTAGGGAATACATTTATTTGCCGACAGAGAAACCTAAATGTCACCCATAAATCCATTTCAACCCACAAGTTTATCATTTCTTCACAAATGCAATCGGAGCAATTGATGGCACGTATATACCTCTTATTGTTAATCGGGACTCACAGAACATATGTCATAACAGCAAAGAGTTTATTTCACAAAATGTGATGGCTTTCACTTCATCTTCAATTTTTATATGTTGCTTCACGTTGGGAGTGATCGGCTGCTAACATGACGGTACTTCATTGGTTGGTGAAACAAGAAACTTTGTGTGTACTGAAAAGTGATATACTCTTTCTTCAATTTATCTTTTGATTATTTGTAGAAGATTTCATCACATACATAACTTTTTATAAATTTTAACACATTTTTAAATCACTTGTGTTGATAAAACTGAACTAAATTGCTAGGGGCACAAATTTTTGCCTGACTCCCATAATTTTCTCAAAGAATCTGCTCATTCCTAAATGTATTTTCATTTCATTTGATTAATCACTAAAATCATAAATCTGGCTTAAACCAAATAAAACAGCCATACAAACACAAATTGTACCTTAACAAGCTTGCATTTCACTTTAAAAAAACATTTATAATATGCCAACAACATAAGCTTATTTTGAGTAGCTTTATTTCTTTGTGAAAATATCCACGTATGACTTAATTAAGGCACTCTATCTAAGAATGAAAAATAGCATAATAAACTTTAAGATCCACTTTCCATCCTACCAATCCTATCACACATTGATAATTCTCATTTTAACAATTTAGAGATTGTGTGTTGGAGGTGATGGTGATTGACCGCAGGAGGAGCACAGATCTTGGAAGTGAAGTTTAACAGCGCTGAGCCTATAGTACTGTTCGATGAATCAAAATGAAGGCAGCTCTCTTCAATACCTGTTATGGCCTTGCAACACGGCTCTGTGAACTTAATATCGAATTCAAGTTTGGAAGGAACGAAATTCACCGAACAGCTTTTGAGTTCAATGACGGCATACCAACACTTGAGAAAGTCGGGAATTATCTGGAATGATGAAGCTCGTGGTATGGAAGTGCTGGCAAGGAGGACGAAGAAGAAGGCACATGCTACAGCTACGGATTTCGCCATCTTAGAAGTTATAGTATTGCTGCTATGCAAACTATATGTTAAGTTGGTGGGATGGGTTGTGGAGGGAGAAGAAATGAGGGAGATTTATAATTGGCTGAAGCCATAGTTGATTGTCAGTAAATGTGTTGGAGTTAAGTTGTATGGAGGTTACTGAAGGTTTTTTTTTGGTTGCATGGGAGTTTTGACTTTAAGTTACAGAATTTTAATTGAAGGTTCAATGTTGGCATTAACGTAGAGCATGGTGTAGGAAATGGTTCTTTATTGTCCGTTAAAGTTTCATAAGTGTAGGAAATGGTTCTTTATTGTCCGTTAAAGTTTCATAAGTGAGTAAAACTGCGTCTCTCTATTTTTTGTAACATGTTTAATGCTCAGCTGTTCAACTACATGTAAATTATTCTTCTAAAATTTTTCCTCCTAAATGCCACATATTCCTTGCATATTTACATATGTAAAACCTAAATTTTAAAATTTTTGTACATGACACTTCAAATTTTTATCATCACATCAAATTATCACTGTTAGTATTTTTTTTAAATGAAAATTATCTTTTATGCATAAGTATTGATGTAGATATGACACTAAAATTTCGTAGGTTTATATATAGAACTATAATTGTTACACATGTAAATAGAAAATAATTGTAGGGTATTCATGTAATATTTGGGAGCCGGTTTTAAGCAGCATTTATGCGGGATTTAAGCTATATCCTGCCGAACGGTAAAAAACGCCTCCGTAAATCCTGAGCTCCCGTAAATCCCGAGCTGCTTGGTAGCCGATTAAAAGCAGGATTTAAGCCAAATCCTGCCAAACGGCTAAAAAACGCCTGTAGATCCTGAGAAAAACGGCTGTAGATCCTGAGCTCTCGTAGATCCCAAAATGGCGCCGATTCGCGATAAATCCTGGATTTACTAAGAAGAGGAAGAATGGAGCGAACAAACTTACCTTCCTCAATGGTTTCTGGTAGGGGCGGAGTGCAAGGATGAGAAAGAGAGTTTCGGTGGTCTCTGTAAGCCGCGATCGAGGGTGGACAAAAGCGAGGGTTTGGGCAGAACTCGGGAGATGAGGCAGATGGAGGCGAGGGTTTCGGATATAAGGGGAAGAGAGAGATAGGATTGTGATTTTAATTTATTTTTGCTTTAATTAATTTAATTAATTTATATATGAATATATGTCCGATTAAATATAATCAGAAAAATTTTTATGTAATTATTTAATAGTTAATTAATAAATAAAGACATATTTAAAAAATTAAATTATTTAATAATTTTTTATGTGATTCTTTATTTGTATGATTAATAATGAATAAATTAATTTATTAATATTAAATGATTATTTAATAGTGATTCTCTTACAAAAAAAATTATTAATGATTAATTAATTTAAATGCCTCTTTATCTTAGTTTGAGGCTTTCGACACTCATTTTTATATTTTATATTTAATATTTATCCTTAGATGTTTATTCTCAAATGTTAAATCTTTTTAAAGTTGTCAAACAGTTTCTCATTATATTAAGGTGTACTTACTAGTATACCAAATAATTTTTTAGATTAAAGCACATAAGAATTTGATAAATACAAATTTATAGGATTTACTAAATCTTATTTAAATTGAATTCTACTTGCAACCAAACAACTCCAAAATGACACTGATTCATGAAAATCTGGGATTTACTAAATCCTGTGAATCGGTGAATTTAGTAAATCAACGACAAGCGAAGGGAAAGAATGACCCGAACTAGTTTACCTTTCTCAACTAGTTCTGGCAAGAGTGGAGCAAAAGAATGAGAAAGATAAAAGTTTTATGCGGTTTGTGTAAGTAGTGATCTTGTCGTTGCCTACCTGACTAACTCTAATGGTGACTATATTGGGAATGCTCTTTCACAAAAGGCGATGGTTTTGAGTGGAATCCGGAGGGGGAGGGACATAAGCGAGGGTTTTGGAAAGAGATGGGAGGTTTGGGCGGAACTAGGTGAGGGGGAGGAGGTAAGCAAGGATTTGAGGCAAGAAAAAATATTAGGTGTGTATAAACGCACCAACGTCAACACTTCTACAACGGTCATGCATTGAAAAAAAAAATGAAGAAGTCTCGAATATCAGTATATTCTTCTTATATGAAGAGCGCAAGCAATGTTTTCTCTTCGGGCGGAGAGTGGAAGAGGGCATTGTGTTTGTGGTTTTAATTTATTTTTATTCAAGTTAATTACTAATTTAATTGATAAATAAGTAATAATTAATTTATATATTATCAAATTAATTATAATTAGATAAATTTAAATGTATTTATTTTGCATTTACTTAGTGAATGAAAATATATTTTACATTTTGAAAGTATTTAATAAAATTCAAGTCTTAATCTATAAAACTAATAAATTAAAGTTAGAAAAAAATTTTCAGCAAAACACAATATAATGTCATTTATGAGAAAAATCTTATTGTAAAACAATTAGGCATAAAAAAAGACATTCAAGTATCACCTATTTTTTCAACTCACACAATGTCATAATTTTGATTTGCAAGATGGAGTACAATACATGGTATATTTGGTTAAAACGATTGAATAATTTTTAAAAAGGAGTGAAATTTTAAATCACAAACTTTATCATAATCATAACTCAAGCTAACAAAATGTTCGACAACAAAAATGAAAGTGAAAACAAGTAAAACATTTCAAACAAAAACACATAAGGAGGGTTCATAGGGTTTATCTTGATGAGCTAACCATTTTAGATTAAGAATCTAATTGTTTCTTCTGCTATCAAGCATATCAAGAAACATCTTCATTCATTTTGCATCTTCTTGGAACTTCGTTAAAGCATTCGTGCAGCTAATGTGATCTAGGTCTTCTACTAAATTGAGGAAATTTATACATTCAACCAAGAAAGATTCCAAACTTTCATTAGAAGATCCAGTTCCTGTGCATAACTTCTTTTCTTTCATAAAAACCATTCTTTTCAAACTCCCACTTAAAACTTGAAGTGTAGAGGCAATCCTTCCGAAATTATTGTCTTCTTCACACGTTTAACTGATAAGTTTCTTTATCGTTCTCCTTATATAATGATTCATCTACATATTTTGTTTCACTTTCTCTAATCTCATCTTCTTCCTCAGTGTCTGAAGGGATTCTAACAAAAGGATGTTGCAGTTCCAGCTGTGATTATGTCACCCTAAATATAACAAAGAGATTAGTAAATAAATATTATGATTATGTCACTTTTATTAACCTAGAAATTAGTAAATAAACATTTTGATTTATAAAAATTAGTAAATAATAAAATATAAATTTTGGATTAAATATAAGATGAAAAAAATACCTTATATAACTTGGCTCATGCAGATGCAATCACTTGATCTGTGGTTGCATTATAACTAATCCAGTCCCTTTCTACAAGTTTAAAAATTCTCTCCAACGAGTTCTAAGCATGTTGAACTACAATTATTATTTTTATTATTTTCTTTTTTGTATATGATTTAAGTCCTTGTATAATATGTGACAATGCAGTTGAACTGGAAGTAGTTGTTTATTTATTTCCATTAATGACTTCATTCTTCATAAATTGAATGAAGATTTCTTCATTACTATCTGACCATACTCCCACTACAGTGATTTCAATCACATCACGGTTATCCATGATTTAACTTGATACACAAGAAAGAAATATCAGTGCACATTCAATCATTTGAAAACCATTACATAGATAATAATTTTTTTCCAACAACTAACACAAAAAATTATAGGTAATAATACTAAAGTATAAGTGATCCCTAATATCTAACTATAAATAATATCAAACAATTATATAGATTGCACTTGAGACATTGCTACTTAGAAAACTATTATCATCCACATGAAACAATTACACAAATAACACTTGAAACTTTTTTACATATTAAATTAGCATCATTAGAAGACAACTATTTCATATACATAACACAATATATGCATGTCACAGTATCGCAAACTCGAAACAATCATATAAAAAATATTTTTACATAAAAAACTATCACCATCTTTAAACTATTATAGAGATAGCACTTAGAGACATAGCTACATACAATACTAGCACACACTTGAAACAATTACAAATTTTATGTATGTTAGTAGATGGGAATTGAGTTTTATGTATGCAAGTAGATAGGAATTGTGTGTAATGTAAATCTTCCAAACAAATAATAATATATGAATTGAGTGTTATGTATGTTAAAATCACAACCATTGGACTGATAAAAATGGGAAAGGGCTGAAAAAAATTCCAAGCAATTCACAGAAAAGCATTCTAAAGAAGATATTATCTGGAAAGAGACAAATTTAATATCAGTAATGTTTAATGTTAAACATCAAATATTCATGCTGAAGGGAAAATTTGATAATTTTTAACATATTTTATGGTAAAATAGTAGAAAAATATTGGGTAATAAGCCTCTTATACTAAAACAAAATCACAAAATCCCATTGAATAAGTATGGGAGCAACACATAGGATTTCAGCTCTTTAGGAAAGCATGAACCATATTACAAGAACAATACAAAGACAATGACACACTTATGTCAAACCTAATAAATCCACTTATATACATAAGGAAAAGAAAGATGGAGTTTCGTTAACCCCTATAAGCTGTGATCTTGTTGCAGCCTTCCTAGTCGGAGCAAATCACAACTCTATCGCAACGGTTTGGTCACAAAGGCGAGAGTTTCATGCGAGAGGGAAAATACTCGGTGAGCAAGGGGCATAATAGAGAGAAAGGGCTACTGAGCCTGCGGGTAAGAGCCAGGGTGAGGAGTAGAGAGAGGAATCGGTCATGAGCTTTGGGCATCATCGACTTTATCCCAAGGGAGACGTGTCAGGCTTGTTTTCGGTATTTTAAAAATAGGTAAAAACATGTTTTTCATGGTTTGAGTATTTAAAAAATAGAGGTGTAGCCCCTTAAAATAAAAAAAACAAAAAAATAGAAAGAAAAATAAATAAACAAACACTATTTCTCTATTTGTTTCCTATTTATTGTTTTCAAAAACAAAAAACAAGAAATAAAAATTGATCCCAAATAGCCTCTAAATATCTTATTAATAAATAAATAAATACATTGTTAGCAATATCATTATTTTTTGATCGCTCGTATCAATACCACATCCACTATTAATCAAATTATAATTCTTATAATATTTTAACAACATTCTCAGCAAAGAAAACAATCATCTATTTTTTGTAGGAAATTAACTAATTAGCATTGGATTTAACATAAGCAATTTTTCGGTGCAAAATTTAATATATTTTTTTTTGTCATAAAAGATTAGGGATGACTTGCGCGTTGAATACTTTTAACACAAACTATTTGCACCGACTTAAGCATCACCAATTTGTTGATGCAAATATTTTATGTCAAATTTAGCGTCAATAAATTGTCAACATAACATAATAACATTGAACTGTAAGACATTATTTTTAATGTTATTTGATTTCCATTGAAATTGTTCAACACTAATCTAACGCATATGCCCTAAAAGTATAATCATGTCTCATTCACGCTCTTTACTGTTTAATAGCATTCGATTTCGATGATTGTGTTTCTCTGTCAAGCGTCTGTCTTGCTAGGGAGCTTTCACTGGTGAGATCATGTCTCTGGCATGTCGTCTTCCACTTGAGGCTTCAGTAAAATTCTCCTCTGTTAATCAAATCTTCTCATTATTATTTTTTCTGAATTCTTTTTTTTTTTTTTTTTGCAAAAAAAGAAGTTTCGGAGCCAGATATGTAATACATAAGAATTGTGTGGTTTGTATGTAAATATTGAAGTTTAGTTGTTAGACATGTAATACACAAGAGTTGTGTTTTTATGAAAAAAATTTGAAGTTAATTTGGGTGTTATATAAATATACTGTATAAAAATAATGAAATGTGTGAAAAATTTGATGTTTGGGCTTTGGATACATAATACATATAAATTGTGTGGTTGTTTTCATTCTTCTTCTCTCTTTCTTTTTTGAGCGCCTACTTGTCTATCATCGTATGATTTCTTTTTTTGAGTAAATCTCTATTCCAGATCATATAGATGATCGGCAGAAGATAAGAATTTGAAAAAAAAAGAAACATACAACGAAGGTGGACGAATAAGAGA